AATGCTTAATGTCCCCTTATTGCTGATCTAAATTCCCAACATCTTTCAAGGCTTATATCCCACCTCAACACTCATAAGCTTTTCTTCAACAACTTCAGGCTATTTTTTTGTTGTTGTTGTTAGTTAAAAGTCTATTAGTCTAGGTAAGACTGGAACCTTTAACACTTAACTCTTTTCTAATCACTTAATATGGTTCTTTTGGTACCCTAAGATTGGCTGTAAACTTATTAGTACACTGGGGACAGTGCTCAGTTCAAAAAAATTATTCATTGATTTTAAAGTAATAATATCCTTGTTATAGAATGCCTTTTCAGCAGGAAGAAAAAATGCAGTAAGTTTTCGCTCACTGTATCTCAGTGTCATATGATGAGTCATTCATAATTTATCAAACATCATGATTTTTTTTTTTAGTTTAGGTCAAAACATAAATTGGTTAAAACATAAACCAATCAAGTACTTAAGAGGTAAGTAGCCAGCTGGTGGTAGGTATATGAGGAAAGCTGAAGTTTTACGGGAGTATAGAAACTGAGTAAAAAGAGGAAACTGGAAGGGGTGGAGAGAGGAAATACAAGAGATGCACAGAAAATGCAGTGAGAGATAGAAAAATTGTCTCTAAAGGCAGTCTTGCTTCCTGGCAACTTGGCAGTTTCTCCAGCAGTCCCTGAGGTGGAGAGGTGAGCTAAATTTCCACCTTTGGTTTTCCATGCAATTTCTTCTTAGAGGCTACATAACCAGCCTCCTAAACTGAGCTACCTCAGTTCTATTTCTTGGGATCAAAAGTGCCTTAACTCAGACATTCATCATTATGAAACTAAAGCAAATGACTCTTCTGAAGTCTTCCCCTATATGCTAACAGCCAGTATTTTGGGAATAATTCCCTTTATTGTGTCTGTGCTAAGGGGCTCTCACTTATAAAGGAATCTAAAAGTTTGAAATCTGGCTTCCAATGATAATCTTTGGTCAGAAATGTGTGTCTTACTACTACGCTTTTCTTCTAGTCTGTTTTTTTTTTTTTTTTTGATAGGGTCTTGCTATGTAGCTCAGGCTGGCCTTGAACTCCAGATCCTTCTACCCCAGCCTCCCAAGTGCTAGGATTACAAGCGTGTACCACCACATCTGGCTCTTATAGTTCTCATGTTATCTATATGCTTTACAGCATTATTCTATGTTCTCCATACTTGATGAAATCACATGATTTTTCCTCAAACATACTGTTTCTTCAGGTTTAGGATATAAATTGATAATGTACTAATAAACCATGAATTAGCAATGTAGATATTGTAAGCTGCATGAAAGTAGAGATCATGTCTGTTTTTGCTTACCACTTTATTATAACTTGGGCCTATCATGGTATCTGGCTCTATTAACAGCTGAACAAATATTTGCTGAATGGATTACTGACACTATGAAATTCAACTTAATAAGCAACAGATATAGGGCAGTATTCCTAATACCCATTTTAAATATATATAAAAAAGAAACTTTTCCTTTACAGTGCTAGGAACTGAACTTGGTCTAGCACCTGCTAGAGTGTTCTATCATTGAGCAACATTCCTAGCCCCAAATGGAACTTTTAACTCTCTTCGTTCCTCACCTGCCAATTTTCAAATATGCCCCTTCCTGTCTTTTGTACTTGGATAAATGGAATCAATTTTTTACTAAGCTGCTCAAGATTTAAAAAATGAAACCAAACAAGCAAATAAAAAGTATGAATATCCCTTAATTTTTCCTTCCCTCGTTTTCTATATCCAATCCATCAATAAAGTACCTGACTCCTGTCTCCACCACCACACTTCTCTGAGTCACCACTATCTTTTGCTGAAACTACTGAAATGGCCTTTAGTAACACTGCTTTTACAGGGTGACTACCCACTATAACTTTTTTCCTTAACATTTAACAGCAAGAGGTAAAAAAAAATATATATTAGGTCATATCTCTCTTATTTAAAAATATTATTTCTATCTGTACACAGAATAAAGTCCACAATCCTGACATGGCTTCTTGCAAAGCTCACCACCATCTAGCTTTACTTTACTCTCTTGCTCACTATGTTCCAAACATCTAGACTTTCTGATCCTTATTACTTAAAGCCTCTACTCTTTCTGAACTCCACTGTCTTTCCTTAAGTATAGAATCTTCTCAACTTTCAGATCTTAACTCTAAATTTCACCTCAACAAAACTGTTCTTGTCAACTCTATGTAATGAACCATTCCTCCTGTACCCACACAATTCTGACACCACCTGGTTTGTTTTCTTCATTGCATACTTAACACACTCAGAAATAATTTTATCTACTTAATATCTATTTATCCTCCCCTAAAATGTAAGCTCCTTGAAAGCAGATCTGCTCTGAGAACTTGGCTTGACATAAAGTAATCACTCAGTATTTTCTGAACAAACCTTATACAAGTATTTGTTTTGCTCTTTTAAAAGCTACATTTGTAACATGTAAAACCTACCTCTTTGACATCTTCTCAGTTTCTTCTAGGAGTTGGGCACAGTGAAAAGTATGATTAATAAAGGATTGCTTAATCTATGGATGCAAGGTTGGAATTTTTAGCAGTATACCAGAATAAACTGTCATACTGGTCTATCACTAATCCTAGCTCTTTCTACAGTATGGGCTGAGATACTTTAATGGGAAAAAAGTCTGCTTTTTATTACTTTGCTCCAGATAGGCGTTTTCTTTTTCTAACTTAAAATTCATTACATTCTTTTTCAGGATTCTAGGCTATTACATAATTCCTTAAATGTCAACTTGCTGAAACTTGGCCCTTGATATTATATCTTTCTTTCCTTTGTACTATTACAAAACATCTTAAACAGAAACAGAGCTACTACCAGGTGGCATGAGACACAGATTCTAAGATGCCAGCACAGGATCTCATCCCACCCTCCACAGAGAAAATCATTGAGCAAGTCATAGTAGTCTTATCTCTACCTCTCAAGAATAGGAATAGTCAAGGCAAATATAGCAGAGGGAACCAGTGGCCTAAAAAGTGTTATACCAGAGAGGACAGAAGTAGCCAATCTTGGATGAGGGTAATGAGGGGGAAAGAAGACTGTCTGAATCGGAATACAACCCAGGCCTTCACTGAAATACAATTTAATAATTGTGTTCTCAATTTCTGTTTAGGACTGAAGAATATTTCCAGCACTTTCTACAAATCCACAGTAGAAGCCTTTGTCCATTATATTACTGAATGTCCTTTATATAAGGAACTAGGCAAGATAAGCTTTCCAGAATTGAGTTCAAGGAACAAGACTCACATTAAGATCAAATTTGGAATTTTCTTTTTAATCAAACAATACAAACTATATGAGGTCATGGACTTTTCAGAGTCAGAGCGCTGTTGGAAATCAACCAGCCCAGCATTTTCTAAAGTACACTTAAGGTATTATGAAGAAAAACATGAGTTTAATTAGCAAACAAGTTTTTCCCCTTTCTGTAACAATTTTATTGGGATATAATTCACATACCATGAAATTCACCTTTTTAAAGTGTATAATTAAGTTGCTTATAGTATATTCAGAGGTGTGCAGCCATCACCACTATTAATTTTAGAACATATTCGTCACTTCAAAAAGAAACCCCACACTCCTTAGCAGTCATTCTCAATTCCCTCAGCAAACAAGAGTCTTTGTCATAGGAATACTTGGATCTTTTGTTGTGAATCTCATGTATTTTGTGAATTTTTAAGACAGGGTACAATGTGAAGTGTTTCCCAAACATATTTAGTGCTAATATTTCAGTGCACACTGCATGTGTGTTACCTTAATTAATTCTCATAGTAACATCTAGGTCATACCAAATATGATGAGTGTGATTATTAAAGCACCAAAAGATTAAAGCTAAGTAAACTGCTACAGTGTTCTTAACCACTCCTCTCTTCTATTTTCCATAGAACTGACTACTGGTGAGATGAAAATGGACAACTAGTATTCTGTGGACCTGTAAGAGCTTTAGTTCAATCTCTTTTAACTCAGTGAGAAAAAGAGGGCTAAATTAGTGTCTCTTCTCTCTCTGGTTTCTGGACTAATAGTTAAGTTCAGAAGTTAAGTTTAGAATCCAATTAGTTACCTGTCTAACCCCAGGTTCCTGACACAATTCTCTTCCTTCTTTAAATGCCTTCCTTTTTTTTTTTTTTTTTAAATCTTCATTTTTAACATTGTAGGCTATCTTAAAACCTTGTTGGGATGGACTCTGCTTTTTCGAAGCGTCTCTCTCCCTGTAAGCAATGCACTCCACCACTTCTGTAGTACAAACCCCAGCTAGTATAGTTAGAAGGCATCACTCAATTTTCCTCCCTCCTTCTGTGCATCTCCTCTGGACACTCGTGCCTTGAATTCGAGCTACTTGGAACTCCTGTCGCATTCCACCTTCTAGCCCGAGTCTCCTGGAGGGCAGAAGTTAGCATCAAGTCGGACAGCCCATCAAGTGGGGCAGAATCCTAAGCGCCCAACTGTCTTCCATGCATCCCTGGTTTAGTATCTCTAGAGCAAGGACACAACTCAGGGCTGCCAGCCCCAGAGAGCGGGGTTTACTGATTTTTAATGACTCCCACCCAGCCTGGGCTCTGCCATACAGCGCACGGACCAGGCCGGCCTTTCGGAACCAAGGGAGCTCAGAGCAAGTAACCAGTAACAATAACAGGCCGGACCGGCGGTACCGCGGCCATCTGGAGCGAAGGCATGTCACCGTTTTCTGCAAGGAACCAGAGCCAGGCGAGGGAGTCAAGGCCAGGCATGTCTGATAGGTGACAGATCAAGGCCTCGAACCTGGGTCACTGCCCCGGGTTCAGATCTTCAGGGCGGAGACAGTGAGGGAGGGGAGGGGCCTCATTCGTCCCGCCGCAACACCCTGCTCCCAACTGTGGGTCACCAGGCGTCTGTCGGGTCTGGGGTCGCGCGCACTCCCGCCCCCTGCCCCGCGCCATCTTGGAGCGCTGAGGCGGCCGCTCCGGACTGTCCCGAGCCGCTGCTCCAGCGGTTACTTACCCGCACTGCCCGGAGCCAGGCCCCCCGCCACCTCCGCGACCCCCACCACGGCCAGGAGAAGCAACAACGCATGTCTCAGTGAGGCCCGGACGGTAGCCATGTCCGGGCCGGGCGGGTCCGAAGCAGCGGGATGCTCGGACCCAGCCTGGCCGCCAGAGCAGCTCGCGCCAGGCCCCGCCTCTGGCGCCTCACGCCGCTGGTGATTGGCTGCGGTGTGCTCAAGCCCCGCCCCCGGTCTCACGGAGTTTCCAAAACCTCCTGGGGCGGCAACGCGCCCTGGACCCCGGCTCTTTGTTAAGGGCCAGCTGTGTGTCGGCTCCAGCTTCTGTCTCCGCGCCTGCCTTCTCCAAGCCGGGAGTCGGAGGCTGTCAGGGCTGGAAGCGCCTTTGGAAGGCCTCTGCCATCTCTCCCGAGGTTTACACGTGGGGCCACTGAGGTTCAGAGAGGGGACTGGAGATGATCACTCTGCAAGTTAGCCTGGATTCAAGGGCGAAATCTAGGCTGAATCACAAGATCCTTTCTGCCCAGCTGCTGCTCAGACACAAAGAAGGTGTCCCCCAAAAGCTGAAGGACCCTGCCACTGGCACCGGCCAGAGTTACGGATTCATAGGTAGCCTGGATGTGCCTTCATGTACGAGTAACACCTATTCCTCTCAGGAACCAAAAAGGGGGAGATGGTTCTTGTGTGACTAGGCACGGAAAGCCATGACTGAGGTCAGACAAATCCAAGAGTGAAGTTGAAGTTGCGGTCCCTGCGCCACTCCAGTGAAGACTGCCCTAGACCTCGGTGTCCTAGCTATCAAAGCTAAAGCATTGTGTGAGTGTGCCTCCCCACCCTCGCTCTTCCCTCCCTCTTGAACAGATTGCACAACACTTTTACAACTGCTGTTCAGTGATGAAGGCAACAGTTTATTTCCAGTTTCCCTGTGTCCAGACTATTAGAAGCAGTTAGTTTTCCCCTGGGGCAGAGAGCAGCAATGTACCTAATGGAATGAGTGGGACTTAACACATCCAAATGGCACACTACCCTAACTAGCCCTGTGACCCTGGGCAAAGACATTTAACACAGTCTCAGTTCTTTTCTTTCCTTTTCTTTCTCCTCCTCCTCCTCCTTCTTTTTAAATATGGAATGCTTCATGAATTTGCATGTCATCCTTGTACAGGGGCCATGCTAATCTCTGTATCATTGCAGTTTTAGCATATGAGCTGCCAAAGCGAGCACTCTTTCCTTATTTTTATCTTGGCCTTCTTGAGAAAAGTAAAGAATATATTATATTTAAAATGTCTAGAGATGCGCCAGGGCTTCTGTAGCGGCTTGGTCTCCTTCAGGGTCTGAGCCACGCCAGCACCTCCCCCTGGAGACCGTTGCTGTTGGCCAGCTCCTGCTCTGCAGTAACATTGTGTGACCGAAAGGCGGTGGTCAAAAATGCGGACGTGTCGGAAGAGATACAACAGGACTCGGTGGAGTGTGCTACTCAGGCGTTGGAGAAGTAAAACATAGAAAAGAACATTGCTGCCCATATCAAGAAGGAGTTTGACAAGAAGTACAACCCCGCCTGGCACTGCATCATGGGGAGGAACTTCGGTTGTTATGTGACACATGAAACCAAACACTTCATCTACTTCTACCTGGGTCAAGTGGCCATTCTTCTGTTCAAATCTGGTTAATAGCATGGACTGTGCCACACACCCAGTGATCCATCCAAAAACAAGGACTGCAGCATAAATTCCAAATAACAGAGACTGAAATCTTCAGCCTTGCTAAGGGAACACCTCCATCTTTAAACCTTTATTGTTTTGTACAGGGCATTTCTCTGTACTAGTTTGTTGTGGTTATAAAACAATTAGTAAAACAGTTTATGTTTGTATTTATTTTCTATTCCATACTTCTGTGCCCCATGGTTTTTTTCCCCTTAATCCATTCCTTTAAAAAAAAATGTGTTTGAGATGTTAAAAAATATTAATTAATTAATTAATTAATTAAAATGCCTAATATAGTGCTTGACAAAGTGAATAGTGCTAACACTTTCAAATTAGAATGAGAGAGCTTCCACTTTGGCTATGGGATTGAGTGACTGGGCTTATTTCCCACCTTGCTCTCTGCTCCTCCTCAAGAGGTGAGTCAAGAAAAAGAAAAAAAGAAAAGAAGGGAGGAGGAAGAAAAACAAAGGAAGGAAGGAAGGAAGTCCAGACTGTCCAGATGGAAATCAATAGCTGTGTGTAGCTCCTGAGTACTTGAAATGTGGCCAGAACCAGTCCGAACTGAACTGTGCTGAAGCCATGTTTTTTAAACCTGGTATAAAACCAAGAATGTAAAATATATTAAAATCAATTCATCTGTTTCTTTTTACTCTGTGTGTGTTGTTGTGGATCAAGCCAGGACCTAAATCTTTTTACTTTAAAAAGGTAGAATTTATTTTTCAGTAAAAGGCAAATGATTTATACAATGTAAAAAGAAATCAGAGTATAGACTTCATTTTTTACAACAGTTTTAGATTCATAGCAAAATGTAGTGGAAGGTAAGGAAGGCATGTGCCTCCTACCACCAAGTGCATAGTCTCCCTGCCAACTACCATCCTGCTGCAGAGCCTTTGTTGACACATCATGTATTGAAGTTTATAGCTGACACAGGATTCACTATTGCTTTCCTACTTTCTGCGGCCTTGGCAAATGTATAATGATGTAGCAATCATTGTTCCTCTTATCTTTTTAAAATGCAGTTGTTAAAAAACTTAAAAATTACAGATGATGTTCTTCTAACAGATACATGTGTCTCTTCAATCAGCACTATGGGCCTATTTTCGCTAAAATGAATGCTGCTGTTACTGGAAAACACTGAAAGCATGACAGGGCCTATTTTCACTAACGTGAATGCCCTCTCTCTGGAAAATGCTGAAAGGAACTCTACTGTTTGAGCTTTTATGATCCATCTTCTCATCATGTGTGGTTCAAGGAGGATCCAAGATGGCGAGTAGGGCACAGAAGCAGACAGTATGAGCTCTGTGAATCAAAAACATTGCTGAGATGCTGGAGCCACACTTGGTGGAAATAAAGCACCAAGGAGAATCAAAACATCAACACCCTGAACCCCTAGCACATGGAAAGCTTCTCCATGCCACGTTACACTGAGAAAACAGGTGGGCTGCCACTACTGCCAGACCCTGGCTCCAAACCTGCTTGGGAGACATTAGGCAGACTAAATAGGTGAGTGCCAAGCATCACATGGTATTCCCCCAGCCATCCGTGGCATAAACCACATAGCCCCATGGGCAGACTGACCCTTCCCCCCAAAAAAACCTGAACAATAAACAATGAATTGAAAAGTAGCACACAGCAGAGCAGAGGGGGCAGGAAGCTGAAAGCACATGGGAGAAGTTTGCTGATCTTCATGCAAACTTTCAGTAAACAAAGGCTGGAAAGTCAGGAGGGCCAACAGCAGGGGGGTGACAAGCCACTACTGAAATAGGGCAGGTAGCAGTCTACAAAGCTCATCTGCTGAGCCAGTAAGCAACATCTAAAGTCAAACAGCCCTGCAAAATTGAAAAACAAACAGCAAACCATCACAACATGCTGACAGCAGGGAGCCAGCTAACAGATCACTGACCTTGCCCCAGAGAAAGGGGGCAAGGCAAAGAAACAAGCCCCCAGTAAGCAAACACAGTGAAAACCCAACTCCAAAGCAAAACAGCTGGTGGACTGCAGACCTGTTTCCAGAACCTGAGGACAACACTCAAACTTAAACTGCCACACCTCAATGAGGGAGAAGCTGACCAAGCAGCTGCTGCTGAAAGACAGAAGAAAAAAAAAAAAAAAACACAACATTACCTAACCATGTGGCAAGACTATGACAGAGCTTTGGCTTAAACACCAATACCAGGACTGGATGCTGGAGGAGTAACACCAGAACTTAAACTAAGACTGAAATTCTATTTTTCCTGAACCTGGAATTTTTTGTTTGTTTGTTTGCTTGTTTTGTTTCTTGTTTGTTTGTATTTGTTTGTTCATCTCTCCCTGTTGATTTCTTTGGGTTTTGTTTGTTTGTTTCTTTTTGTTAGTTTTACTATTGTGAATTAGTTAATACTAAATTACACCCAGACCAGGGACAGAGATGGCACACACACACTTAGCTAAAAACCCAACACAGCCACAAAACAAAAGTAAATCAAGGGAAAGAAAACAGGCAACTGAAACCACCAACTAGCCTATCAGGAACATAGCTGCACAGTACCAAGTGGAGCGATGGGAAGATGAAAAAGAGATGGAAACCATTCTCTCCCTGCCCCCAAATAATTTAATACAGGATTCAAAGGGAAATGAAGAAAACAGATACTCAGTTCTGGACTCCAACAAAACAAACATAAACAATGCCAAAGAACACAACGATGCCCACGAAAACAGCCTCAAGGAAGAAATCCTGCAAGTAATCACTGAGAATTTCATGGAGATGTTACTAGACATTGATAGAGTAATAATGTCACCATTTTGTTAATTGGTGGCCATTTTATCCTCGGGTCTCACTTCTTGAGAAATGGAGCTTCCAGGTAGCTCCACCTCCAATGTCAGCCCCACCCTTTTTTTTTTTTACTTATTTTTTTTCTTTTGTTATTCATATGTGCATACAAGGCTTGGGTCATTTCTCCCCCCTGCCCCCACCCCCTTCCTTACCACCCACTCCGCCCCCTCCCTCTCACCCCCACCCCCTCAATACCCAGCAGAAACTATTTTGCCCTTATTTCTAATTTTGTTGTAGAGAGAGTATAAGCAATAATAGGAAAGAACAAGGGTTTTTGCTAGTTGAGATAAGGATAGCTACACAGTGAGTTGACTCACATTAATTTCCTGTGCGTGTGTGTTACCTTCTAGGTTAATTCTTTTTGATCTAACCTTTTCTCTAGTTCCTGGTCCCCTTTTCCTATTGGCCTCAGTTGCTTTTAAGGTATCTTCTTTAGTTTCTCTGCGTTAAGGGCAACAAATGCTAGCTAATTTTTTAGGTGTCTTACCTATCCTCACCCCTCCCTTGTGTGCTCTCGCTTTTATCATGTGCTCAAAGTCCAATCCCATTGTTGTGTTTGCCCTTGATCTAATGTCCACATATGAGGGAGAATATATGA